AGGTAAAACCACTTCTTGATTTCAGCTTTACTTTCTTGATATACGCCTGAGCAACTTGCATAACAGTACCGTTGCTTTCTTTCTATGAGTAACGGTGCAAGTTTAACCACCTTTTTATTTTAGTTGCAGAGGGCAACCGGACCACGAATTTGCATGTGTGTTACATTTAAAGAAACAAATCCAGATGACATTATTCAAGAAAAAAGAAATCCATGGGGTGATTAGCAGTAAAATTTTCGATGGTGGAATTTTTGGTCTAATATGTAATCACGATATTGGAGAAATCATAAGTAGAGAATGGTAACTCTCTAATACCCATATCATATAGATAAATTGGAGTTTCATTTTTTTTTTCAGAGTCCGTTTGAAATGAACATAAATATACTTGGGATCATAATTTTTTTATACAAAAGCAAAAAACCGATAGGAAGGCGGTGTGAATTTATTGAGAAACCCGAATTCGAATTAAACACAATAGAGAACAATGCGGTCAATTTAAAATTGACACGAGTTGACAAGCTTTCGCAAATTTTCGGTAAAACAAATTGTTTGTCGTAGCATTGGAATATTTTGATCACGAACTGAAATGACACGAATAGTCAATGCTAGTTTAACAAAATGAGATGATTTGCCACCCTATTTCATCCTTATAATTATAGGAATCTGATTTTTCTTTTCTTTAGGCGGTTTCCCTTTTTGTTATCCTTGAAATTATTGTCTATTTTAATCCCACTCGGTGTGATTTGCTTGCTCCAACCCAATAATATATATTTCGTTTTGGAGTTTCACGGCCCCCTCTGCTCAGCATTTCCCTTTTAGTTTTAATTCCTCTATCTTGGCCTGATTTATCTACAATTTAATTTTTGAAGTGTGATTTTGGTGATGTCGACCTTTTATAATTTTATTGGATGCCTACTTTTAGCCAATATATGCTCATGAAAAACAAAATTATTTTTTGGTCCTCGTGGTTTTGATGAGTTTTCCTTGTTTGGGCCATGTAGTATATGAGGATCGACAACAAAATGCGGGAAGCGAGATAAATCGAAAACTCTTGAGTGTTCAGTTCTATTAAATTAGTCAACGTAGACAAGAAATTTGGTGGAAAGTTAAATGATATGTTTTTTCCCCATCTTCAACTAATTAAATGATCTGTTTTAGAAGGAAAGTTAAACAGTATATTTTGACTTAAAAAATGCATAAAGAAACGGCGCCATTCTTATGCAAATGGGCATATGTATCTTCACTTTTTTTTGGTAAATAAAAATAAGTAGACTTCTCCAGACTCTTTCATATGGTAGGCTTTGCTTAAAGATATTGCTTAAAATCTAAAAAGTGTATTGCTAATCAATGTTGCCACGTCAGTTTTTATAACATACTTTACAAAAAAAGAAGTTTTCAAAGAAATTATTTAGCACTTCACAAAAATGAAAACAGGGTGCTTCCTTAGCTACTTACAGGTGGCCCAATGCCACACTTTAACAAATTCTTTTGAAAAATTATACACAAGTCATATGAAAATTTACTAGTAAACATTTGTATGCTGTAAATGGTTTCTCGTATTTCATCTTAAATAAAAGTCAGAGTAAAATTTGAAAAAAGCAAAAGATAAAACATTGAGGTGCATTTGCCTTAGTTGTTTTAAAGCAATAACTATTTTTTCTTTATTTTCACAAATTTCAAAATGTCATAAAAAAAATTAAATTTGAGGTCGTGTGTCCATATTTATATACGGGAAGGTCAGGAAGAAAGCAAATCGTGCAAATCCAAAATTTAAAAAAGCAAAAATTAAAATGTTAAAAGTCAATTTAGAGACTCAATAGATTGATTTGATATATTGGGAATTGAAAAGATTTTGTAATTTTTTTGTCTCGTTGAATTTCTTCGCCATATCCAGACTTACATGGATGAACAATTTAAAAACTTGCATTTCGGTTCAGTTTAATTATTATAGGGGTGTCAGAACCGAACCGAAAAATTGAACCGAGATACGAACCGAACCGAACCGAAACCGAAAATTTCGTGCATTTCGGTTCGGTTTCGGTTTCGGTTCGGATCATCAAAATAAACCAATTTTTCTTTTTGGTTCGGTTTATTTCTGTTCGATTCGGATCGGTTCGAATCGAACCGAACTAAAATAAACACTTCGGTTTAGGGCTATTTTGCCCTCTCTCTCCCCTTCTCTCTCCTCTCTCCTCTCTCTCTCTGCCTAATGAACTTGAAACCGAAAACTGATCCGAACCAAACCGAACCGAACCAAACCAAATTGATTTTTCGGTTCGGTTCAAATTCGGTTCGGTTCAAGGGGGCACCCTTAATGGTTCGGTTCGGTTCGGTTCGGTTCGGTTTGGTTCGGTTCGGTTCGGTTTTCTTGAAAAACCGAACCGAACCAAACCATTTACACCCCCATTAATTAAGTTTCAGTAACTACAGATTAAAACCACTTCTTACTGAGCTTGTCTAGTGTTCCCACATTTCCTTCATTCCTTGGTACATATCTAGATACTTCTGCTCTGTTATTTGTCTTGTTGAACTATTTATCAAGAATATGCTTGTCATTTAATTCTTATTACAAATAAAAGAAGAAATACAAAATTCAATTTCAAAATCAGTTTATTAAATGACGTTATAACTAGATGGGTGTTGTGTCTGAATATGATCCGTTTAAATAAGTATCATTGCGCTTGTCTTAATCAGGAATATTTCCAATTTTTTAGGTATGGATTCCAGATAACATGAAAAAAGAAATACCACATGAAAACCACAAATGATACTTAATCACTGAAAGTTTTTAAATTTCGCTTGTCAAGCATACTTTTTATTGAGCTGGTCGTTCTTGAATTTTCATTTTGTTAAATTTAGTCTATTTTTTTCTTGTCAGAGTTAAATTTAGTTATTGAAATTTTTAAATTTCCCTCGATGTAGTCTTTCCGTAAAAAAAAACTAACGGCGTTAGCTGACTTGGAGACAAGCTCATGTACTATAAACAAAACAAAACCGAACTTATATTTCTCTACATAAAGAAAAAAAGGTAAAGTGCTCAATACAAGTGTTCATAATTGAGCAAGAAAATTCACCTTATTTTGTTGCCTTCAATTTCTAGGCGATACAAAAAAAAAAAGTGTCCCCCTGGGCACCAAAGGCCAATTATAATAAACAAGACGGAGCAAACGCAATAAATATTTCACAACGAAAGAATCTTATCGCCTTTCCTTAAGGCAACAAAATTTGGACCTAAGGAAACACAAATAAAGATTTGCCCAATGACTCGTTTAACAAGTGAAGATTCATGAGTTTCATAGTAATAGAGAACTTGCAACTCTCTATCCTCTCGCTTAACAAGTAAAGATTTTCCCTTGTAGAAAGGATAACTCATTCGTATTTACATGAGAGTCAAACTCATTGTCAGAATCCATGTTGTATATTTATACACGAAAGAAAGAGGTTGATATATTGCATGTGTTGGATTTTCATGCACTAAAAATAGATACATATGCAAGGTAATTTTTGTAGTTCATGTTCTCCATAATGAAGCATGATCGAGAACTTTTGTTTCTTTAGTTATTATTGTTATTAGCATATCTTTATTTACAATATATAATGCAAAAGTTGGACGTGTTCATCCACTAAAACACGAGAAAAGCTTTCCATCATCATGATTGGGGATAAAATTCTAGTCCCTAACATTGAAAAAGAAGAATTTATCAGACATAAAAGGTTCAGCAGAACAAGCAGTGAAATGGAGGAAAACCAATGTAATTGTATGGCTCGCTATCTTCTAAGGCATGAATTGGGGTGGCTTGTCACCCCAGAAATTGGTTGTATTGTAATCTACCATGAACTGTTGATCATCATGGTTAGACTCAAGCTCTGGGTAGATAGCATCAGCATGATGGGGATTGGTGTCATTCATGCATGGCACATTGTTGCTGTTATATCCCTCATTTGATCCCTGGCCTGCATAATAATTTGTTACAGGGCAATAGCATGAGATCGAAGGAACGTCCATTGCAGGGGCATTCGATGATGAAGCCAGTCCTGAATGATGCCCCATGTCCTGATTGAAGATTCCTTGATTGTTCCAAGTATTAGTGTGATGCGCAACGTTCATATCAGCACTCGAATTGCTGGCCATCATCATGTTTGTTGGGTTGTTGTTGTGATGATATCCCTGGTGTCCGTGGCTTGTGCCAGAATTATAACTCGATGGCGCTACAATTTGTTCTCCCGGTGGTCCATTGAAGATTGTTCCATTTCTCGGGAATGACGGAAGTGGTGCATAACCATAATCTGGTTTTAGAATTTGCTATGGTTAGATATTAAAAAAAAAAAGCATGCAAAAAATAAGAGCATATCTGTTGCATACAATGCACCGTTTTGTAACTTAGTGATCGCACTCTCCGCTGTCATCTTGCCACAAATGAAATAAGATCTAATATTTTATTTGGTCATCAATATAAGACGAATGGGAATTTACCAGAGACTTGTGAACCGGGTGAATTTTCAAGAGAAGGCATTAGATGATTTGCCGATCGTCTCTGGTATGCTTGAATCAAAATCATCAGTTCATCATTGGCCAAGCGTGCAGGAACACTTGAATGGCTAGGAGGAAGCTGATGATGAAGATGATGGTGAAGTTGAATGAGTTCAGAGTTGAATAATGGTGGTGCGGATTGCGGTGCCTCAGTAATATAACCCACAAAGAACGGACTTTCTGAACTTGGGAATGGCCTCCTGCTCAATTCCCTCAAACGTGAGTCCAAGAAGAAGAGTGGCTCCATGTTTCTGTCTAGCGTGCCTTTAGGAAATTCAAGATGGTGCCTCCTTATAAGGGAACAAAAAAACAATATAAATCACCATATACACAGTGGTAATTTGCTATTAAACTAGAGATTAATTAAAGGCGTTCATATCATCCGATCTTTTTCTAAGTCAAAACGGGTATGTAATAATGGAAGGTGATCAAGAGGTTGCCCGATTTTGATCAGGATGACATGATGTACCTGTAAGTGCAAGCTTGACAATCAGTGAAATCGTAACTCGGCTTCCATGAGGTATGCTTTTTGGGGCGCACTTCGGTCTCGCAATAGAAATGAGGCGGCTTGGATAACTGAAAGTAAGCTTGATATATTAGCACAGGCTACAGAGTGTATATATCAAGTAACCGTTGAAACAGTAAAGCCGATCTGTTGTTTTGTGTGAGCTAGAGCTCTGCACATTTATAGTAGATGATCTGACCATGAAGTTTCTAACATGGCAATGTAAAGCTTATGACAAGAAGTTGAGAAGGTAGCGATTTGATACCTTTCTTACACAAGTATAGGAACATGGAAAGGACAAAGAAGATGACTTGATGAAACCATTGTTGAATCTACATTATGGAAAAGAAATTTGGCACAACCAAAATTTAAGGTTAAGGGTTACACCTCGATTTCGAGAAGTTCCACGTTGCCCCCGTATTCAACTCTTATCGCTGAAATATCCTTCCAGCTTATTTCAATCTTCTTCTTTAGACCGTTTTCGAGTATCTCCCAATTCAGCCGTTCCCTCGTGTAGTACCACTTCGCTATCAGATCAGACGGGTATCGAGGTCTTACCTGCACATACTTCCACATGAAAACCACGGGACAATTCCAAAAGAGGAAATCCGATTTGACGACAGAATGGATATATCTATACATACATGTTCACATATGCATATAATGTAAAAAATACCTCGTAATTGCCAATCCTGAGGACACTAAACGGTTCACTTGTGGCCTTGAACTTCTGAAGCCCGCGCCCTTCACATGTTCGACGATCGACTTGTCCATCAGAAAGTATGGCTTCAGTTTTCTTGAGCATATAAAGTGTCTTATGCGATTCCAGGTTAAGCACGGTCAAAGAATCGAGAGTTCCGTTGGAATCGTCCTGAACAAGTCGCAGATCGTGTCATTGAAAAAGAAAAGTCCTCCTGTTATCAAGTACCAAGTGCACGTACATATGCCATGCACGGTCAAGCATGCACGGGCACTGTAACTCGTTATATCTTTCACTTGCAGTAAATCAAAATTTCAGAGCCACATCATGATGCGAAGAACGTAACTAGCTAGCAGTCAAACCCTACATATTCCAAATATATCTTCTTGAAAATCTAATTAACTATTACGTCCTTAAAAATCCTCATTCATATCTGTTTGAAACCTGATACTTTTGCCTTCTTTCTACGGTCCTCTTCCTATAATGAGAGGAATGAATCAAACTATAAGCAAAAAGATAAACACCCCAGAGAGAGAGAACCTGTGCGTGTTGCGTCGCAACTGCTGTTTGAGCACCCTGCAGATCCGGGGCCTGTGCATTGTTACCCTGAACCCCGGAAACACCCTGATGACCATCACCACCATTCGAAGGTTCGGCCATGGGAAAATCCTCAGCTTGGAGGAGCTGCTCAAGAGACGGGAAATCTATATCACTCCACAAGTCCAAGAATTCATCCTCGCCTCCGTTACTCGCCATGTTTTCTGTTCACTTGAATGGCCAAAAAGAGAATCACAAAAAGAACAGGAAGTTTAATGGCTACAAAACCCTCCAAAAGCCCTCGCAAGAGAGCCAAAGAAATAACCCCACTCAATCAAAAGGTGAAACACATGAATGTTTAGTCGATTGAAGGAGCTCTACATATAATCAGGCCATATAGAGAGAGAAGAAGAAGAAGAAGAAGAAGAAGAAGAAGAAGCGCGAGAGAAAGTTCGGTCGGATAACAAACCGGAATTCAAGTACTATTGGGTTTGTGTAAAGAGTCCTAGTGCTGGATGGATTCTAAAGTCAAACGAATTGAGTTCTCTACTTTCCCTTATTGTAAACCAGAATTGAGTTCTTTTCTTTTTGTCCTTTTTTATTTTTTTTATTTTTATATGTCTCTTGCTACCCACTTAAATTTTTTTATTTTTTTTTGTCTATTCTATCTCTAACTCTCCTCTCTCTTTGACTTTGTTCTATCTCTTACAGAGCGTGTGAGTCGAATCCCGTACCTATGATACTAACATCTCCATCCCCCTTAATCCCTTTATCAGCAGGGCGCATGTCTATTGGCAAATTTTTGTATTTGCCTTTAGCTTTATTTATATAAAATAATAATAATTCCGTCCCTTATTTCTCCATTTTTTCCTTCCTTTTCAAAATAACACGATAATTTTGTTTTTCCCTTTCTTCAGGCGATTTTGAAGGGACTCTAATAGGGGGTTGCGAAATAGCACCTGCACTCCCACAAGAACTTGACAAAGGAAGAGATGAACAAGCGCACTGAGAGTAATTTTCAAAATCCTAAGGTGGGGCCCCCCTTTTTTAGGGATAAATTTGTGCACCTTCTCCAATCCTAAGGTGGACCCCTCCTTTTTTTTTTTAAAAAAAAAGGTTGAGAGTAATTTTTAAGTTGCTGCTAAAATATGTCCGATACATGTTAACAAATCATCTTATAAATTTCTCCTTGTATATAAACTCTAGTAAGAGCTCGGATTTATTGTAATGGGTTATATATGAGTCACCTCAAATTTGAAATATGAATCATAATGTATAATAAAAAGACCAAAATATATTAATTTTAGGCTCCGTTCGTTTGGAGGAAAAAATTCTCCCGGAAAATATTTTCCGGGTTTTCCGGTGTTCGGGGGGCGGAAAACGTTTTCCGTGGGAAAATATTTTCCTTCCCCCCCTCACAAAATAGCCTAAGTCTACGGAAAATGACTTTCGCTTCTTCAAAAGCGCAAATCATTTTCTGGAGCTGCTTCTTCTTCTTCTTCACTAAGGTCACTAGCCGCCGCCAGTCGCGGCCGCCGCCGCCGGACGCCGGACATTGGCCGTCGGTCGCTTGCCACCGCCGCCGGTCGCCGGCGAAAAATATTTTCCGAAACTTTTTCATATTGGTCGCCGAACACCGGAAAATTATGTTCCGGGAAAACATTTTCCAGGAAAATGACTTCCTGGAAAATATTTTTCAAAAGGAGAATATTTTCCGCCAAACGAACGGAGCCTTAATGGGTTTATAACAAATCCATTCTCAACCTATTTCAGCTCGGCCTTCAACTTACACCAAATAAATAAAGATAACCCATTACAGACTTTTTTCTTCTTGTGGGAATCTACAACATCTGGTTTCCAAAACTGTTATTCTCTTTAATTAAACACTGTTATTTGATATATTGTCGGTACGAAATAATATCAATGCAAATAGAGCTATAATACCAACACGTATATAAGTTTTAATATCAGCAACTATATTCATTTAACCTGGATATAAATGTTCCCTTTTCACGGTCAATTAAAAAAAGGTATTTTACATTGTCGATATTTCTAATAAAAATCTAATAATCAATACTTTGGACATAAATTGCGGAAGCCTACCTAAATTTAAGTTCAAAGGCATAAGAATACTTGTGCCCGCCAATATTCATTTTACATGGGGCTCTCTTTAGTTTTTACCACGTATTCTACTCAGAGCCTCTTACAGTGACTAGTATTGCCGGCCTTTATTTGGTCAATGTGGGTAAACACACCTTTGCCGAGACTAATCCTCTTGAATGATACAGATTATCGTGTCGTCGCATTCACAATATGTATCGTCGCAACACATGCACATTTTTTTAGTTTTTTATAAATATTTCAATCTACAGGTTCATTTTTACGTTTTTTACTTTATTTACCAACTTTTTTATCGAGCTAATTTAATATTTTAATTTTATAAGGAATTTTTATCTAAGTAATATATACACATGAAGAGCTTAACGTAGATTCACAAGTTTGTTATTGTTGTCTCAGCACTGCAGTGGACGTGATATTCCATTTGATATAGATGGGCATGTCTTGTATACTGCGCAATTAACTCAAAAGTCGAAGAAATATCATGAAAGGAAGACCCCCGAAGGAGATAGGATTGCATTGAAAGTGAAGGCTGAGTGTCCCAGTTTTGATCTTGGATTTTGAACCATGGCGATTGCTCAATCAACACACGAAATTTGTATAGTCGAGCCCTTGTTCTTAAGTGGATTGTTCTAGTGCCAAGTTCATTTGCAGCTGTCTGACCTGAATATTGATATAACATAATCAATGTATTTCCAGTGATCTTTATTGAGGTATACCATGTTTATGTATCCAAATGGTAAGAGGCCACCTATGTTGACTTGAGATACTAGTTAATTTTTTTTAATATGTATCTTTTACATTGTTCTCAACATTCAAACTGTAAAAGTTGTGATCATTGTTATTTTAAACAAATTAAAAATTAAAGCTTAAATTAGTCACAACAAAGGACTTTTCAAAGGTGTTTTCACCAAACGGCATTTCTCTCAAAGTTTCTTTTCAACGCACTTTTCGATTATAGTTTACCAAATAGTCTTTGCTTTTCATGAAAAGCATTTGGACTAAAGTCCTATTCCCAAATGCTAAACAAAATGCAGCCTAAGGCTTCTCTTGTGGGCCGTGCCAATTGGACCCAAATCAGAATTTGAATCCCCCCTTCTATTACTATTGCTCTTTATTCATTTCATTTTTTACTCATATTTTATTTATTTATTTATTTATTTATTAGTTTTCTCTTTTTGCTATTAGCTTGCTAATTGTTATTTTTGTGCTTTACAAGAATGGACCTTTGAATTGTTGACAAAAATCAAGTGTCAATATTATTTTTATGTATTATTTTAATCATAGTTCTTATTATTGCAATCTATGGTCAGCATGAATCGTCTTATTTAATATCTTACTTCTATTTAATTAAAAATTTCAATTCATCAACATTATTTGTTGCTGTGATTTTGTAAATTCATTGTCAAGTACTAACTTTCAATTATTTTTTATTATGAATCAATACAAAAATTGAAAATTATATGCAATATTGAAAATTAGGGGTAATCGGTTTCAAGATGCGCAATTCACACCCTAAAATCGGGAACTGCCCACTGAGGATTGGTTCCACAAAATGGAAATCAAGAACCATCCGTTGGTTCCATGGTTCCGGATCGGGTCCATGGAGCCGGTCCACAATCACTACAAAGGAATTGTGTTTTGGCTCCAAAAGTTATCCACTTTCATAATTAATAAAAATCCTGAGCAGGTGTTTGTCTTGAAACTGCTCTCTATGTTCTCAGGGGGCCGAAGATTTCCCGTCGCTGGAAGCACTACTTCAAGGAGAATGATCATCAGTTACTAATTCATATAGCAGGAAGTTAGCCCGTGAATGCAGCTAATGGCTTTCAAAGGCAAAGAGCTTTTCCGAAAATTTGTCTTCCATCCAAAAACATATTAGAAAGTCTATAAATTATCAAGAAAATTAAAGTCAGCCAACAGGCCAAAGCACGCCAGCTCAGTCTGAGTGGGCAGTACCACACTTGGAACGAGGAACCAGACCGGTACTTACCGGTTCATTGGAACTAGGAACCAGACCGGTACTTACCGATTCACCGGTTCAATGCAAACTGGACCAATCCCTATGGGAATCGCTGGTTCTAGGCCGGTTCGGTCCAATTCCAGGCAGTTCCTAGTTCTTTTGCACACACCTGCTAAAAATCAATTCTTTAGCGTGGGTTAACTAGATGGATACAAAATTTCATAGATTAAATTAAAAGTGAAATTATTTTTGTAATAGAGGTCGGGTCAGCTATCAGTTACTAAATTTGTGCTACATATAAATTACTCAATTTGGGTTCAACCATTTTCGACCCGATCCAACCCACCCACCCATTTGACGGCACTAATTTGATCCGATTTTGGGAGTGTCTACCATTTTTTGACTTTGCAAAAGGGAAGCTATGGCGGAGGGAGAAATAATTTTACGAATTGGCACCTATTGTCAAAAGAGGGTCATTTGCAGATTTCCTTAGTTTTCACGTGTGAGAATACCCTAATTGTTAGTGATTGGAAGAACTTGGAAGAGCGAACTCCACAAAGTAATATTTACA